CATCAATACCCTCTGCTCCTGCCTGCTCTAGAATACCACGGCCCAGAAAATCCGGCTCTTCTTTAAAAATGCGCGCGCTCGCGCACGCGCACACGCACGCACGCACGCACACACACACACGTTACGATAGCTGGTCTTCCAAGCGGAGATGGCGCATCCGATTTTGCAGAGCTAAAGTGTTACATTGTGTTTAAACAGCTAGGGTAGTCACGTGCTCATTCAGATTTGGCACGTGTCCAGCAAGCGTGGTGATATGTCCAGCGGGCTTGGTCACGTGTCCAGCAGGCGTGGTCACGTGTACAGCAGCCGTAGTTGTGTCCAAAAAGCATGCAGCGCCCCTTCGTACACTCAGGATACCACTGCCACAATGCTAGCACTATTTTTAAAGTGGGCGGAGCTCCAGGGAAATCCAGCGAATTGAGATTCGTAAACAGCGTATGATTTGAAAGAGGTAACTGGGCGCACAATCCGCGTACTATTTCGTATCACTATTTTATCAAATTTTACATAAAAAAATAGTTGGATTTTTAATATCTTTGCAACTTTTATTAGTCCATATCTTATTACATAGGATACGAGTAACGTGGCTGCTGTAAAACTTGTAGTAAAAAAGCGTTACAAATTGTAACAAAAAGCTGCTTGTGGCAGTAACCTGTATAATACAGTCGTTATGTTCCACACGGCTACACTAACGCCTGTAAGCGAGCGCTGCGCCAGCAGTTCGCGAGCCTCGTTATCGATCGACCAGTTGTTATGTCGGGGAATCTGATTAGCGGCGAGCAATCAAGCTGATTGGATGACCTAATAACAGTCGCTGCGACCTGCTCACTCATTGGCCGGTCTGGCTCAGTCAGCAGCCTCCCACTTTCATATAGTAAGGTGTTAACGCTCTGGTGAGTAGGCCCTCTAGCGGCCGTTACAATCAGGAGCGGTAATCATTAACGTTAGTGGCAGTGGTAGATTGAGCCCATGAGCGAGAACGCCATCTGTAGTGGAATTTGAGTCGTGTCCAGCGGGCGTAGTCACGTGTGCAACTGACGCGGTCACGTGTCCAACTTACGAGGTCACGTGTGCAACTGACGCGGTCACACGTCCAACTGACAAGGTCACGCGTCCAACTGACGAGGTCACGTGTCCAACTTACGAGGTCACGTGTGCAACTGACACGGTCACGCGTCCAACTGACACGGTCACACGTCCAACTGACGAGGTCACGTGTCCAACTGACACGGTCACACGTCCAACTGACGAGGTCACGCGTCCAACTGACGAACTCACGCGTCCAACTGACACGGTCACGCGTGCAACCGACGAGGTCACGCGTCCAACCGACGAGGTCACGCGTCCAACCAACGAGGTCACGCGTCCAACCGACACGGTCACGCGTGCAAAAGACGAGGTCACGCGTCCAACCGACACGGTCATGCGTCCAACCGACGAGGTCAAGCGTCCAACCGACGAGGTCACGCGTCCAACCGACGAGGTCACGCGTGCAACCGACGAGGTCATGCGTCCAACCGACGAGGTCACGCGTGCAACCGACGAGGTCACGCGTCCAACCGACGAGGTCACGCGTCCAACCGACACGGTCACGGCGTGCAAGTGACGAGGTCACGCGTGCAACTGACACGGTCACGCGCCCAACCGACGAGGTCACGCGTGCAACTGACACGGTCACGCGTGCAAGTGACGCAGTCACGTTTCCAACTAGCATTTTCGTGTATAACTGACGTGGTCACGTGGCAATATAACGTGGTCATGTGAATGGCGTGCATAGTCATGTGTCCATGCACGTTCACTACTTAGTTTCCAATACACGTTGGAGACGAAAATGTTACACGAATTAATTCTTTAACTTTACATTAGGTTACTTCATCCGAGCGACTTCCGTTACCTCATTGCATTGGCAATTACTAACTCAAACTCGGTTTCGACATGTCGACTATTATTTTCGTTACGTCACAAAATAAAGCAAAGAAATAAACTTCACATAACAAACCAGACACCTAGCTCATTGCAGTCTGTTCAGATGTTTACTCTATACTACATAACGTGACTAAATAAGGTATAATTTGAGTTTTTATCTCAATATTGGGGTATAAAAAGCAAAGGTAGATTATAACAGGTTTTCGTTTAGGTAATGGATTAGATAACATTTAAGGCAGATTAAGGTTTCTTATCTTAATAAAGATTTAATAATAAAATAATAATCTACTCAATTCGTGTTATTTCGAACTTTGGTTGTATTCTCATGTATACTTTTGGCTAATACTATATAATTTTGTCATGTCAAAACTCAGTGGTAATTTGAAAATTTGTGCTAATATGTGATGTAATAATATTAGGTTCGCATTGTTAATCGTTATCGTTGACCGTTATCGTCGCGTCTATTAAATTAGTACCTACAACTCTACATTAACTCATAACTCTTCGCAACAACATCAGTAAACCATTTCTTCAATGTATACAAGAGCATATGAACTTATTTTATTTTGTCGCATTTTTTATTGTATCATCATATGGAAACATTTGACAAATTCATATACCGATACAGAAATACAGATATATGCGACGCCTTGACATTAATCAAGACTGGGAATTATGAATTCTGCTATCTCTAAACACTAAAATCAAATCAAATTTGCACTATAGCAATATGATCTTCCAGCTGCAAGCGGTGCCAGAGTTATGGAATAGTGTATATATTTGCAATTTTGGCAATTCTGTAATCGTAATCATTTCTGCAGACCTTGCAAATACTACTTATTAACCGTTCTAATATCTTATCTCGACTAACCGTTCCAACTCCATGATAGCTTATTTCAGGCATGAGACATTTCCGCCGTTCGGCTGATTTCAGGCCATTTTAGAACCACAGAGACAATTTCTGAGATCAGTGTAAATTCAAGGATTTTTGGGGGGGGGGTAAGAATACCTCTGTGGTCTCTGACGATCGCGTACATGTGAACACACTGTGACTCGGTAACTATCCGGAGCGCTTCTACTCGTATCATTGTCTTAATGTATGCTTGCTAACATACTGATAAAAGCAGAGTACGTCGAAGTACAGCAATCAACTGGTATCACTGTTCATTTATCTTATGTAGTGAGCACTTGTACAGGTAGGCGGGGACCAATCTAATAAACCGAACACCTGCTCATACTGGTCCTTGCTCGACTACTACTTCGCTACACTAATTTTTACAGTAAGTGACCATGTTATATGCATAATTTTTTCCTTTTCCATCAAAAAGTGTTGCTAGTTGTGAGCTATTGGAATACCCTGAAATGGCTCTAGATTGCATCTCAGAGCTTATAATTTTCAAAACTCCCCCCCCCCCTAAAGTTTAAAAAATGTTCCTCCCTTTTCAGCATTTGTCTGTCTCATGCCTGTTATGTAGACGAATTCTGCATTACCGAAATAGGCGCAGGGTAAAATACATACAGAATTAACTGTTCAAACTAAACTACTGCTTTGTTACGGCAACACTCTACTGATGAATAATAACTGTGAGCATTTTATACAGCTGCACATGCTTGCCTGTGCTGGCATTATAATTACGTTAAGCATACGATTAAGAGGCGATAGCTTCCAGGCTTTCAAGCAGACCCGGGAAAAAATTTAAGAGAAAAGTAGAATCCAAATTTGCATAAGAACAGGACAAAAGTAGGACTTTGCTAGAAAAAGTAGGATAAAAGTAGGACTCATGCAGGCTTTCAGGAGTTTTTACTCATACTTACCAATATCAACAGAACCATAAGCCCCATATGACATATTCTTTACTCACATCACTTGTGCTGCATCCTAATTATCTGAAGCGACTACTCACTACTCCTGCACTCAAGTCCTTCTCTTTGGGATTTACATATGACAGAGTGTAACATCGTCATCAAGAATATTGAATGACTCAGATTCCTTTTAGGGTGTTTTGGGACAAAAAAATTTGAAAAAACTAAGAAAAAGTAGGAAATTCATGGAAAAATTAGGAAAAGTAGGAGCAAAGACAAAAAAGTAGGAATACTTGAAGGCCTGAGCTTCTCACTACAGTACTTTGATACATATATCGAGATACTCTATATTATCATCGCTACTCATCCTTCACATTCAAATTGTAACATCCTACACTCCTGAAGTAGCGATTCGTTAGTGACAGTGAAAAGTGTTCATGTCAAGTGCAAGCAAATGCGCCGCGTTCTACCGTAACATCGGACACAATTTTACCTAAAGCACGTTTTACCATTGAGCCAATAAGACGCGAATTCTCGTCAGTGACTTTATCCACGTACAACAAATATGATTCACTTGTGTATTGTTATAACATGGTCTAATTTTGCATAAATGGTTCGCATTTGTATGAAGGAAAAAATACACAGTAACACTACAAACAACAGTTACAGCTATATACTTCATTTCCCTATACACCATACCTTCTCGGTGGCCTGTAGAATCCTATACATTTTATTATCGTGTAAAAAAAATAGTGGCCAAACAAATGCCACCAGATTAGGATTAACATGGTATGTAATAGCAGAAGCCAACAACACGATCACCAGAGGTTCTTGGTATTATCAGATACTACTGCCTTTTAAACCATCCAGTGAGACATGATACATTTTTCTTATTGCTACAAAGTCAGAGACTTTTAAATTACAGTTGACTTGCACACTTTTCGTTTACCTCTATGGCCGACATCAGCAGTTAGTAGGAATGTAAACTTCACATGCATGCACGCACGCACGCACGCACGCACGCACACACACACACACACACACACACACACAAATGCATTCACGCACTTATGCAGGCACACACACGCGCACGCACGCACGCACGCACGCACGCACGCACGCACACACACACACACACACACACACACACACATGCATTCACGCACTTATGCAGGCACACACACGCGCACGCACGCACGCAC